AAATTCTTTCAAAAGACACTAAGCAATCCAGGAGGGTGAGATCCTCCTAGACTAATTACCTCCTAAAAGGCCCCATCTCTTAATAATGCTACATTGGAGATTAAGTTTCAAAATAAATTTTGGAGGGGACACAGAAACTGTCAAATAATAGTATAGAGATTGATTTTTTCCTCCCCACTCCCCACAATATATAGCATTTGAAACTAATGAATATTTGCATATTAGGAGGTACAATAATAAAAAAGATGAGTCACTTTTTCCAATTCTCCTCGTCTCCACTTTATCCCCTCTATTCCTCAGTAATTTGGGTGGGCTTAGTAGACATATAGCTCAACTCTGACCCACACTGTTAAGTGAGGCAGCTGGAAGGCTGGAGCCAGGTTATGTTGATCCATGGCAAAGGTGTCGGTTAAGGCTATTGACTGCAAAGGACTCCAAGCAGCCTGGACTTCCTCATAGTGTTGTGACTGGGTGGAACAATGAGTGTTCCAAGAGAGTAAGAGCCAAGTAGAATGCATGTCACCACCTGACTTCATGCTAGAATTCTCACAGCATCGTTTCCAGAAATGCTGTTTGCTAAGGCAGTCACAAAGGCCAAAGTTCAAAGGGAAGGTAGAATTTGCCTTTCCACAGAGTTGAACATTTCTTGAAGAGCATCAAAATATTATTGTGAACATTTTAGGAAATGCCAATGTATTCAAGAGTATAAAACTGTATTTTAGGTAGAGTGATACTAAATTCCAAATGAATACATTAAATATACATTAGGTCTTTGTTATTTAAAGATGAATGCACTGTTGCTCACTGATCTCGGATGATAAATATATTCAGATGGCACTGTTGATACCAACCAAAAGAGAAGAGCAAAACGGAAACTAGAAATTTAAAAACCCATGCTTTTTTTCTAAGACTTGAGGTTTTTTTTTCTTTTTTATTTTCTTTCTAGACTAGTCAAAGACCATTTCTCCATTGACCCTGTGCTTTAGATTGTTACAATGCACCTAAAAATATGATAAAGGATGAGATAAAAGTCATAACACAAATGTTAAACTGTATTTTGATGATTTAAAGTATTTCTGATCCTGATTACAAACAATTATCCCAAACTGGATTTATAAGATAAATTTAGAGAAAGTTTTTTAATTTCTTAGAGTTGTTAGTTGTGGCAGTGAGTAAAGAGCAGGAAGATTTTTCTATTATTTGAAATTACAAATTCTGATTATTTTTCTTTGAAACAGAATCAGTGACAAATTTATAATTCATGGAGTGCATATCAAGGGGGTATAGCTGGAATTTCTGAAGAGCAGATTGATAAGCACAAGATATTCAGATGGTTCCTTATACAAATGAATCTGTTAGAGGTATTTTCTCTGATAACTTTGTTCTTGTTGGTCATATATTATTTACTGTACATTGCAAGGAGACCATTGCTTGTAACATAAAAAACACTGATATTACAAAACAAGTTAAATAAAGAGAAACAAGAAATGCTAAGATTTTGCACATTTGTCTCAAGATAATCTTAACTAGGTTATAAATGGTATTTATAAACTCAAAATTCAACCGCACATGAAAAAGTCTATTATACCTCATAAATGCATAGGAAAAAAGGAGTTACTATTATATCATTTTTTTTAAATTTATATGACTTAAATCTATCCATATTCAGAATATAGTATTTGTGAAGTGCTGGTGATTTTCTAAATATTTCTTGTTACTCACTTATAAACAAAAGGCAGCAAAATACAAAAATATAGATCTTATTTTAGAACAAAATGTTAGAATTCTAAAATAGATCTGAAGGGGTTGGGGTTGTGGCTCAGTGGTAGTGCGCTTGCCTGGCATGCATAAGGCACTGGGTTCAATTCTCAGCACCACATGCAAATACATAAAATAAAGGTCCATCAACAACTTTAAAATATTAAAAAATAAAATAGATCTTAAAATCAGTATATATTTTATTTTGATATAAGCAATTAAATTTCAATCTACATGTAATCCTCAAATTAAACCTGAGATAAAATTTTTATATAATTTTTACATTTATATTTATAAATCAGATCAAATAAAGTATTTGTATTAGTTGTTAAACAGGTGAAAAGTTAAAATTACTTTGTATGTGTTTATTACTAAAGATGGAATTAAATATATATATACACTAAGAGTCTTTCCTAATATTAAGTATTTTGCTTATAGTTTTTTCTTTTTACTTTTTATTACATACCACATACAAAAATTGTAAGATTTATTTTCAAATTTCTCTGAAGACTTTACAGAATTATCTCTGTCCCGATAAAGGACTTTAAAAATTGTTAGAAATTACTCGAGAACAGATATTATAAATCATTGGGTTAAAGAGTAGAATGTTTCTGCAAATCCATCAATGTTCTTCTTTGGCAAACTTTTGCAAACTACATATGCTTCTTCTCTGTCAATTCAAACTTAAAAGATCAACCATTTACATTCCAGGTCATCTATGCCCAGTAATTCTGTAACATTCCTCACATTAGACAATGGTTTTTCCTCATCCAATAATATCCTCTTGAATTCATTTTGGAGACATGTAATTTTGTCTACCTTGGCACAACTAATGGCACTATTGTCATTTATTTAGTTGGTGCAGAGTTTGGTATGTTTATGGTTGTTTGGTATCCTCTGAACAGAAGGAAAATCTTTCAGAGAAGAAGTATTTTTTCAGACATCATCTGATTTTCTGACTTATCCCCAGATAACAAATATTCATAAGCAAGGGTCTGCAATTTTGCAGTGAACCCAAGTAGGACTTAATCATATTTTGTCGCATCTACTCAAACTAGTATCTTCGTGGCTTTAATTACATTCAGTCATATGAATTTTTCTATTATGTATATAAATGAAAAACTGTATTTTGTTTTGTTTCAAACTTTGCCAAGGATTCTTTATTATATCAAACACGTCAGAAAATCACATCACTAAGTGCCTTTTGCCATTAGATTCATCAAAGCTGCATGCCTTCCTTAGTCTAAATTAACAGCTCACACATTCACAGTACGACTCTTTACAGATGTACAACTAACCACTTCATTAGATCTTCTTATATAATTATGACCCAGCACTTACTCTATACTCCTTTAATTCCTCTGCAGAGTACTGAGGGCAGTACTATGTGCATAAGTAGATTATATTATCCTGTAATTTCATTTTGCTTTAACAAAATAAATATTATAGACCATATATAATAGGATAGATTATTGGGAGTAATCAGGGTTCAAAATAATTACCTTCAATACACCATCCTGAGTCCATCTGGGAATAGTCCCATAAATAGGCCACAGGTTGGCCTGGCATACCCAATACACTTCAAGATTAAGGACTTCAATAAACCTAGATCTTTTAGACAAGGAATTGCAAAAGAAATGCTTGGAAGGCCAGGCAGTTGATATGAATGAGTGAAGTCAGTCAGCTGTGAAATAGTAAGGAGTTGAGAGGGTTATGGAAAATTTAATGAAATACATATATTCTATGAAAAGAAGGCAAGAACAACTTGGTTGCAGCCAACATTGCCTTGGAAGAATGAGAATCCAGTATTCCATCATTTATTTCTCAAGTAATACAGAACATCCAGAAAAAAAAAATGGGTAAATTTTCTTAATTTTAATATACTGTGCATGACAAACAGATGCAAAATTTGTTGTAGACTACCCCATAGCAGTGCCACCTTGCAACCTCTATTGCTATGACCTGTACAACACTAAACAGTTCTCTGTGCACAGACTGTGAGCCAGCTGAGAAAATAAAAATCAAAATAAATATTAAGAAATAAGACAAAAGACATGAAAACAGTTGAACAGCAGGTTTGATGGGGACCAGTGATGGTAGGAACTGGATCTAG